GTCGGAGATTTGCAGTAAACTTCCGTTTTTAGTAAGGCAATTAGTTACGTTTACAAAAGAGTGATTCTTTGCGACGTAAGAACAAATGCTGTTCAGAAAGGCTCTAGGGCATACTAAATAAATTTTAGCTCCTTTTGACCGCAGCCTTATCCGTTCCCAATTCTCCTCGCTTGACCCTTTAATCCCTCTTCGTGTCCCCGTATTTTTGCCCTCTTTCATCATATATCGTGATGGCTTCATTTCACTTTCATCCCGTATTTTCATTAATCTTTTTGCGGTCAGCTGCACACATTTAGGAAGGCACTGTTCTTCTTTGCTTCATTATTGTGTTGTGTTTTTGGCGCATTACTTCACGTTCCATGCGATAAAAAGTGAAGCGTTGAGGGCTGGTTCGAATATGCTTTTCTGTGACAAGTTGTTGCAAATTCAAAGCGGATGAACGCGGCAAGAAATAGAGAATTTGTATATCTAATTATGGTGGTTCCTTGGGCGTATGAAAGATATTACAGTTCTAGATTTATGTCTTGCATGGATCCAGAATTATAATGCTGGAATATAATTTAAGTGTTAGTCCATAATTCAGAACACGGGATGATCTGAAACATTTCATCTCATAAAGTCGGAATGGAAACACCACAGACACAGCAATTTTCTCAGTGTTTCTGCAGCATTTTATCCTTCTTTCTTTCTTTCTTTCTTTCTTTCTTTCTTTCTTTTTCACAGTTATTTTCAGTCCCCATATAATTAATTATTATCATCTTTTTTAATTTTTCATTTAAAAATAAGGAAAAACAAAAAGGGTTACGTGTTTTTGTTTATTTGAGCTACCTCTCTCTTTTTTTGTTTAAAATAAAATACCAAAAAAATAATGAATAAAACATATCAAGTAGAATACTAATGAATAAAAAAAAATAGAATTTTTGTGAAATCAGTACTTTTAGGTAAAATCTGACTAAAAAATCGTAAAAACCTATAAACAAACTTACTTTCGAGGTCCTTGTTAGCATTTCGCATATGTACCATTATGTTACCAAACGGTACAATTCGTTCTGGCGCGATAGCTTTCAGGCATTTCTCTTAGGATTGTCTGTTTGACAGATTCAGGAAATTTGGCGCTGAAGAGCTGAAAGATCGGTGCGGTGCCATTTTGCTGCGGCCATATGTTCACCATCTTGATTGCCGCGGTGGTGGATGTGGCAACTTTTACGGGAATCGCTGCAGCAGATAATCTTGTCCTGTACTACCCGGTGTATCCGCAATATGTTGTACCGAGGCATTTGCAAAATTTTGAGAGGAATGCTCCACCAAGGTAAAACCTCTTCGTCCTTTCTTAATCTCCATTCCCCCTCGGCAGTAACCTTCGATTTTCCAATAGTACGAAAAAATTCAGTCCTGGGTTCAACTGACATGCTCCGGTTTTAGTACTGATTGATTCTACACCCGCTCTATGAACGGCATTTCTTCGATTTCTCGTAAATGTCGATTCACAAATTCTTAGCATTGCCAGTTTTTTTAGCAAGATACCGTCGCCACCATATGACGTAGTGAAATCCGATGGACATGACATAAATGCCCATCTTGTTGACAGCTGGTGGACATCGAAGATAAGCGAACGGTGTCCCTGAAAAAATAAACGACCACTTGGGGGGACTTCAAAACAACGGTGCACACACACTGAACAAACGGTGGGCACTGGCTGAAGGTATCTAGCCAAGGATCTGAAAGCAAGACATAGCTGCGCCCAGGATATTGGGACATCTCAGTAACATCACTAACCTCAGATTCTTAAAATTAACTGTCCTGGCAGTCTTAGCATTCCTGGCGCATAGGCGAGTCAAATGAAAATGGTGATTAAATCA